CTATCCCTAACGCATGAATTATAGAAGTATTGAATTCTTTGAAGGCAGAGTTAATTAATGATTTCGTATCAAAAATATGCATGTAACTAGATACGTGAGAATGATCGAAGCTTAGTATATTCATTGTAGGAGATTAAGAATGAATGAAGAAATGAAAAACTTTAGTTAAGAAGCAAAAAGATATTGACCTATTTTCTGAGGAAACCTGCTTAACTCTCAGAAGTCAACCAAACTTGTAACTTAATCTTCGTTAGAATCCGATGAGACTAGTAAAATCTGAAAGATTTCGTACTTTTAGCTTGTCTTTCTCGAATTATGATCACTTTGATGAACCTTCCATTTCTGACAGGTTATCTCGTACAAAATGGAATAACATAGATGTGACCTGAAATTTTACTCTTGAATAGGTCATACTACCATTTGATTGCTCTTAAAGTATCATTTGCAAAGCATGACTTCTTGTATGAGATATGAAATGATCACAAGAGTTAGTGTTCTGATCTTTTCTTGTACGATATGAAAGTTTCGTAATCATTCAATATCTCCATTAGAAATCGAGCATTTTGAAGTGAAATTCAGAGAACAATCCTAAATTATAAGGTATGAGGAAAATCCTGGTGAACTTGCATTAGTGAGCCTCATCAAGTCGTACATGTGGACAAATCATGAGCTCAATTAGTCTCTGACAGTCTGGCACAGTTGCTCGTTAGTATCAAATCTTTCTAATTGCACAATAAAAAAAAAACGTTCTAACCAACCATTCAATAGACGTTTCGACGTGTCGATCTCAACTTCCTTTGGATATCGAAATTCTATATCGAGCAATCGATATTTCACTTTCCAATAGGTCGAGGAGTCTATGTTAGGTCATTTCGATCACTCGGACGATTGTTCCTGAGGGGATCAAAATTCAATCAAAATAAAGTTTATTATCCGATAGATGCCAAGAAGAAAATTCAAACATGATTATTTGCGATATATTTTCATTGAACATCTAAACTTATTATTCTTCTCTGAAAGTCATTTTTTCTATTTATAAAAAGATAATACTTAGATGATTGTATTTCTTATTGTAACAATTGCTAGTCATTTTTTTAAATTAAAAATAAAATTTTTTTTCATTTAAGAAAAGCTTTCGCATGTCTTTAACTAAAGAAAAAATTACTCTTAAATTCCAGATGCTATTTAAAGAGTATATTTCATAATGAATTGACTTGCATAATAATGTGTTAAATTAATATTTAGAAAGCTTTTCAAAGTTAGAAAATTCCTTATGACATTGTATTCAATAAGAACAAAAGACAGATTTCGATCTTATCTTTCATCGATTGATATTAATTCATATCGTGCAAATAGTTGAAAAACTGCTGGTTAACGGTATGGTTAACCGTGGTTTTTGTGCTTGATTTGTTTGTTTTATATCTCACTGCATAAATATTTTTAAGATTCTCAGAAACATGATAGATTTTAGTCAATATAGCGCATACTTCGGAACCTGAATACACATCATCTGACAAAAAATGCAGTGATATATTGAAATCAATTTTTGTTTTGGGTAACAATCGATCTCTTCAGGTTTTGATGGAAATTGATGACATTAATTGTTTCTACTAGAGCACTCAAAAGCATCCTTCAGATAGGTTTCTTCCCACCGAGTATTTGAAACATCTAGGAGTGGAAAATGAGTAGTCGGTAGGATCCAGCTATCGAGTAGTTGGGATTCGATGGCCTTCAAGAGGCTCGACATCGAAAGAGAACGAACAAAAAATAATATATATTGTTCAAATTTTCAACTGCTCGTCGCATCTATCGTATACTTTTAAACGTCCAATTGGGATATCAACTAAAGATGGACGCAGAACAACTTTTTCTGTTCTGTCCTGTCCCGTCAATCATCTATAAGTTCTATCCAAAAATTTTCAAGTTACAATGAGCTCAAATCTCCACGATAATTCTTTTTTTTTTCAGTCTCAGCTAAAATGTCGTTTTTCGGGTTCCTGTGTTATTACTAGTTCCACACGCCGTCACTGTACATGCTGTCGATTACAAAGATGTTTCGATGTTAAAATGCGAAAAGATTGGATTCGTACTGAAGAAGAAATCAAATCAAGACAATTAATAAAATTAGCAAAAGAACAAAAGAAAACAAATAATCTGCCAAATGATCAGCAATCTCTTGTTACTCTTCCACTAATTCTACGAAAGAAAAAACGTTTGATGATAAGATCAACAAGCCAAGAACTTTTTGTTACTAATCCAGTAACTACAATAAAAATAATTGAATATTATTAATGATTTTTATCTTCCTGTTCTAGGTTCATAAAATCAGTTTTTTTGGTGTTAATCATATTCTACATGATGATAATCGAACATTATTAAACAATATAAATAATGCTTATCAATTAGTAGTGGATAAAAGTGATTATTCTTATATTAATAAATATACATCATCAACAACTCTTTCGCAGTTTATGAAAGACGAAAGTATTATGCACGAATCATTAATATATTTTTTTAAAAGTATACCTGAATTTCAACAATTAGATGTACATGATCAAGTTGTCTTGATCAAATCTAATTTTATTAATATTATACATTTACATCATATAATAATACGTAATTTTCAAGATCGTTCAGACATTGGTAATCCTATGTCAAAATGGGTAAATCAAGATTTTCATTATCAAATGTCTCGAACGCATCGATATTTTTATCGTTTTATGAATTATCCATTGTTATTAAAACTCACATTAATTGTTTTTATCTTTAGTATTAATTTATCTGCATCATGGGATATGGATCAATTTTCTGAATATAAAAATAGGAGAATATTGTTTGAATTTCAAAATTTTTATACGAATATTCTTTGGCGTTATTTAAATTATTTATTTGATGAAAAAGAAGCAATAAAATCAATGGAAATAATAGTTATGCAAATTTTACGTTATCAATTATTAATGGTAACAATGAAGAATTCTGTAGGACAAAGTCCAGATCGCTTTCAATTTCATTCACTAATGCAATCTATATTTGGACTTGTCTAAGAAGTACATGGATATCAATATTTATTCATTGGACGAATGTTGTTTTGTTGGTTAAAATGAAATTCTATTATGGAAGAATATACAAATTTAGAAATTATATGAACACATGGATATTATATCTTTCCAATTAGTTGTATAATTGTATAATGATATATTTTGTTTGTTTTTCTTTTAATTTTTAATATTGTAAAAGAATTTGAACAAATTGTTAAGCGTTTATTTTAAAAAATAATTATTAGAAAAGTTGTACAATGAAACATGATTACAAACACACGAAACTTCTCGGAAAAAAAAACGTGATTAAGGTTTTTGGTCAGTTTACATTTCAACCTCACCCTTTAGGATCGAAAGCAATATTTCTGGAATTTCCTTCCTTGGTATGATATAGATCTCCCGCCTTCTAATAAAAATTTACTGCTAGAAAAACATTCCAGCATGTATAGATGTGCTGCAACATGATACGAACATTTTGAATCTTCAGTTAGTTTCATGAAACAACGATTTTGACGAGTCAGCTAAGCCTTTTGATTTGATGAGCAGAAACTATAATAAAAATCTTCGATAGAACAACATCAACTCTAGGTGAAATTGTTTTTGGGTTAAGTCAAATTTGATTGTCGAAATTTGAGATCGCCTCGTACTGTATTCATGTAGATCTTTGCAAATTTTCTCTATTTTCTACTTACTAGACGTACGCATCCGAAATTATCCGAGTTTATGTAATTCGTTTTCCAATCTTGAACAGAGTGTTTCTATTTCTTCGAGAAAGCCAATGAAAATGAGAAAGTTTTTCAGACTTCGCTTTTTTTCAAGATTCGCGATAACTAAAACGACGAAAATAGCAAAAAGAATCAATTGATCAATCAATAATCTTCATTAAAAAGATGTATAAAGCTGTTAATAGAGTTCTCTTAGTCATCAATTACGCAATAGCTCCTTTTCAAAATTAGTGAAGCTTAAAGTTCTTATGGAGAAAAGTGTTTTACTATAATTTATACCTACCTCAATAAATGAATGAGACCGTAGCAGAAGAACTATCTATGATTGGTTCATACCTGGGAGATAACCAGCACAGTTTTTATAATGTGAAAAATCTGTTCAAAATTTGTAATTCTCTTACTAATACTATATTACACAATAAAGTGGATAATTATATTCTGACTCAAAAGAAGCGTATGTTAAAAAGTATGCGTTACGTAATCATTTGGTTGAATAGTCATGGAAGAATGGAAACGACAAGGTGCTCTTTAGTGGATATATCTAGTGTCGACCAAAGCCGCTCCATAAGCATAGACCTCAGTTAATTAGGACATTGCATATTCGAGATATTTACATTGCTAAAATCAATATTTCATGCAAAAATGCTCATATTTTCAAACCTAAATATCTTGAGGATGGAGTGTCCGAAACTTCAGAAATTTTTATTTTACGAGTCAATTTAATTCATCTCAATGTTTACGCAAAGATTTTCGTCAAGATTCGGAAATATGATTTCAATTGATAATTATGATCCTACAGGAGAAATTCAGTAATAAATTTGACGTCGTAGATAAAGCGCAACTTTCATCGATATCTTTAGTCTAATAATTCCCTATGTAATGGAGTCCAAAGCTTTTTAACACCTAAGAAGGTTTCCTCATCAACTAGAAATCATAATGATAATTACTCACTCGTTTTTGTGCGAATTAATGTTTTGTTCATAATATTAGCATGAATACAAAGATATAGATCGCGTCTAGTACATAACACAATGTCATGTAAAATTAAATTTAATCGATTTCCGCCATCGTTTTTTGCCACTCCAGTGCTGAGTCACTGTCATCTCTCTTTTTTTTTCGATGACTAATCATATCATTAAGCGAACATTGAATATCGATCAGCTAATAAAAACGCCATGATATACTGTGCATGACATTTTCTATCATGATACTGATAACGCTTCACCACATTTTTCAAGGTACAAATTATCCATTGAAATTATTACGAATAAACAAACCGAAGTCATTTTTTCTTTCACGGTAAGTGTCTCATGCGAAGTACAGAATATAAAATGAGAAAAAAAGTATGTCTTTTTTCTATCGCGTAGGATTCTATTAAAAGCCTGTTAATTGACAGAAACTGAGAATAAAAAGTCATGATAAACGTCGTATCTTGTCTAATAGTCGTATAGTGATATAACCAAGCAAAACAAAATTCAAGCTGATTTATTCGTAAGTTCGAATGTTTTAGTTTCTTTTTTTTTTATCGAAATAAAATTACATCAACTTTTTATTTGTAAAATGCCAAATAAAGTCAAGCAGAATGAAAATACATCTATTTGTTCCTTGTTTGAATAAAATCACAACATGCAAAAACCATATAAATAATAAAATTTAACTAATTTAGATATTGACGACAACAATCATGATATCAAGTAATCAATATTGGAATCAAATGTCAACATTTGATTTTGATGATTTATTTTCGTTTCCTGATAATTCTAATGTTCAAAATGAATCTGATCAATATTTTATGTTACATGATGATATAATTGATGACAAGACAACTTCATCGTCTGAAGTAAACGATTTAAATTTATATATTCAGTATTTTTATATAATATTAGTCGTTCTTTTCGTTAGACTGATCATTATCAATTAGACACATTATCAAATAATAGTTCAGCACAAGAATGTCAACAATCGAATCTTGAATGTCGTGTTTGTGGTGCACCAGCTCACGGTTATAATTTTAATCAAATTACTTGTGAATCATGTAAAGCATTTTTTCGTCGAAATGCATTTCGGGATATGGTAAGAAATATTGAATGATTAAAATAGAACTCACAAACTTTTGAAGATTCTATCCCTAACATTTAATTATAGAAGTATTGAGTGCTTTGAAGGCAAAGTTAATTAATGATTTCGTATAAAAAACATGCATGTAATTAGATACATGAGAATTGTAGGAGATTAAGAATGAATGAAGAAATGAAAAACTTTAGTTAAGAAGCAAGAAGATAGTGACCTGATTTTATGAGGAAGCATGTTAAACTTTCGGAAGCTAATTAAATTCGAAGAGATTAATAAAAACATAAAAGTATTCATATTCATAGCTTGTCTGTTTGAAATTCTGATCGTTTTAATTAACTTTTCATCTTAGACAAGTTATCTTGTACAAGATCGAATGACATAGATTTGACCTAAAATTTTGTCTACGGACAAAATTTGTTCTCATTTGATTATTCTGAACAAGATTTCAGATCATATTTGTATCATTCAATTTTTGGCAAGGTACCTTGCCTGGCATTGCATATTAAGTCAAATAGTTATAACTTCAAAAGAACAAGGCATGTAGGTGAATATTTCTGGGCTTCCACCAATCAGTTTCAGTGAGTTATACACATGCACAAACTATGAGCTTGATTGACATCTGATAGTTAGACAAAGTTCTTGATTAGTATCAAATTTTTCTAATTGTATAGTTATAAAATAAACAGAAGTAAAACATTAGACTTCAATATAAACAAATAGAAAATAATCACATCTTAAATAACTAATTGTACCAACATTCTATTAGTTGTATCCGAAAATTTTCGAAATTACAAACAAATAATATCTCAATGATAATTCTTTTTTTTAGTCTGAACTAAGATGTCGGTATTCTAGTTCATGTATTATTAATGTAAATACACGTCGTCAATGTGCATATTGTCGATTAAAAAAATGTTTCAATATTAAAATGCGTAAAGATTGGATTCGTACTGAAGAAGAAAAACAACTAAGACGATTAATAAAATTAACAAAAGAACAAAAGAAAATAAATAATTTATCTAATGATCAACAATCTCTTGTTACTTTTCCATCAGTTCTACGAAAGAAAAAATGTTCGATGATAAAATCAACCAACCAAGAACTTGTTATTAATTCAATAAATACAAATAACTGAATAGTATTAATGATCTTTATCCTTCACTTCTAGATTTATAAAAAGTTTTATTTTGGTTTTAATTATATTGTATATGATGATGATCGAACATTATTAAATAATATTAATAATTCTTATTAATCAGTAGTAGATAGCAATAATTTTTTTGTATATTAATAAATATATATCATTCACATCTTTTCTAACAGTTTATTAATGATTACATTGTTATGCATGAATTACTAAACAATTTTTGTAAATGTACACCTAAATTTAGACAGTTAAATAAAAATGATCTAGTTTTTATTGATCAAATCTAATTTTATTAATATTATAAATTTACATCATATAATAATATGTCTAAATTGATAGATAAAGATTTTCAATATTAAATGACTCGAACATATCAATGTTTCTATCGTTTTATGAATTATCTATTATTATTAAAACTTACATTATTGCTTTTTATCTTTAGTATAAATTTATCTATATCATACGATATCAATCAATTGTATGAATATAAAAATAAGAAAATATTGTTTGAGTTTCAAAGTTTTTATATGAATATCTTTTGTCAATGTTTAAATTATTTATTTGACCAAAAAGAAACAATAAAAATAATAATTATGTAAATTTTATTTTATCGATTTCATTCACTAATGAAATCTATATTTGAACTTACTTAATGAATATATCAATATCAAATATTTATTCGTTGAGTGAAGATATACGTACTTCGAATAGGACTTGTCCATATTTTTGTGAAGTACAATCAAAAAGGAGTGTTGAAGTATAGGAGTAATAGTTTGAAACCTTCTCCCGAAGGAGTACCGGAGTTTTTCGATTGATATAATAGACTGAAAGTTCATGCAATTTTTGTATCTCCATAAAAGAGAAGCTGCCCGACATTGTGATTCCAGCGCGGCTACACCGCCATGTATATGTCTGATCGATACCTATAATACATTTTAATAGTACTAAAATATAGCCATAATACTGAAGAGTAGGCTCTCACCCTTAGCTAGTCTTCTCTCCTTAGTGTCGCTCTCGTCGTCATTTTTACCCAGATATCTGCCCTCAAACTAATGCGTTGCACTTGAAGATATGATATATCCTGAAATCGTCCTGTGATTAGAAAAAGCAGTTACGTGATGTTTCACATTTTAATGCCGCAGATATTGTACTAACAGTTTTTTGCCAAATTAGTATACATAGAACTTCTTCTTTTGGTTATGCATTGCTATTTCGTATACGATATATTATATTTATTTTTTCTTTTGTTCTATTTTATTTACTTAATTCACATATTTATGAATCCAATTCAAAAAAAAAACATGAGTATTACTGAGTACATATGACATGCAAATAAAGTGGGACAAAAAAAATAAAAGACGAAAAAAAAAGACATGACTTTTTATTGTTATTATTTTTCTATACAATTCTAGTGAAATATATTCCAATAAAAATGTAAGACAGTCGAAGGACACCTATCATGCGTAATTTCTGTTTTTTACCATATAATCCTAAAAATGAAATGTTAATTTATTCATCAATTCAAAACATCCTCTCATTTCATTTACTGACTTACTTTATGGCATATTGATTTGTTTTATTTTTACATCGAATATGACATATTTGAATTATTTGTAAATAGAACAAAATCGTGCTTGTGGTCCGTTTGAGTGCAAAAATATAATACTGTACTATATTTATTTCATGAACTTTATTTTTTCTTTTGCTTTANGATTTAAATTTATATATTCAGTATTTTTATATAATATTAGTCGTTCTTTTCGTTAGACTGATCATTATCAATTAGACACATTATCAAATAATAGTTCAGCACAAGAATGTCAACAATCGAATCTTGAATGTCGTGTTTGTGGTGCACCAGCTCACGGTTATAATTTTAATCAAATTACTTGTGAATCATGTAAAGCATTTTTTCGTCGAAATGCATTTCGCGATATGGTAAGAAATATTGAATGATTAAAATAGAACTCACAAACTTTTGAAGATTCTATCCCTAACGCTTGAATTATAGAAGTATTGAATTCTTTGAAGGCAGAGTTAATTAATGATTTCGTATCAAAAATATGCATGTAACTAGATACGTGAGAATGATCGAAGCTTAGTATATTCATTATAGGAGATCAAGAATGAATGAAGAACTGAAAAACTTTAGTTAAGAAGCAAAAAGATATTGACCTATTTTCTGAGGAAACCTGCTTAACTCTCAGAAGTCAACCAAACTTGTAACTTAATCTTCGTTAGAATTCGATGAGACTAGTAAAATCTGAAAGATTTCGTACTTTTAACTTGTCTTTCTCGAATTATGATCACTTTGATGAGCTTTCCATTTCTGACAGGTTATCTCGTACAAAATGAAATAACATAGATGTGACCTGAAATTTTACTCATGAATAGGTATTACTGTCATTCGATTTCTATGAGCAGTGAGTTCACTTGACATCTGATAGTTGAACACAGTTTTTGGTTAGTGTCAAATCTTTCTAATTGTATAGTTATAAAACAAGCAGTAGTAAAACACCCGACTTCAATATAAACAAATAGAAAATAATCACGCCTTAAATAACTAATTGTCTGACTAGAAGCTATTAGTTCTGTCCGAAAACTTTCGAACTACAACGAAATGATATCTGAATGATCATTTTTTTTCAGTCTCAACTGAAATGTCATTATTCGGGATCATGTATTATTAATATAAATACACGCCGTCAATGTACATATTGTCGATTAAAAAAATGTTTCGATATCAAAATGCGTAAAGATTGGATTCGTACTGAAGAAGAAAAACAACTAAGACAGTTAATAAAATTAGCAAAAGAACAAAAGAAAACAAATAATCTACCAAATGATCAGCAATCTCCTGTTACTCTTCCATTAATTCTACGAAAGAAAAAACGTTCAACGATAAAATCAGCCAACCAAGAACTTGTAATTAATTCAATAAATACAAATAACTGAATAGTATTAATGGTCTTTATCCTCCGTTTCAAGATGTATAAAATGCGTTGGTTTGCTTTTAGTCATATTCTATATGATGACGATCGAACACTAATAAATAATATAAACAATTTCTATCAATTAGTAGTAGATAACGTTGATTTTTTGTATATTAAAAAAAATATACATTATCAACATCTTTTTTAACAATTTTTTAATGACCACACTGTTATGCATGAATCACTAATAAATTTTTTAAAATTTATGCTTGAATTTAGGCAACTAAATAAAAATCACCACGTTTCATTGATCAAATCTAATATTATGAATGTTACACATTTACATATCATAAAATAATAAATAATTTTCAAGGCTATCCAAACATAAGTAAACATATATCTAAATGAATCGATAAAGACTTTCAGTATCAAATGTCTTGAGAACACGTGAAATATTTCTATCATTCTATAAATTATCCATTATTATTAAATCTTACATTAATTGCTTTTTATCTTTCGTATTAATTTATCTGCATCATATAGTATAAATCAATTTTATGAATATAAAAATTAGAAAATGTCACTTGAGTTTCAAAGTTTGTATACAAATATCTTGTGTTGATGTTTAAGTTATTTATTTGACGAGAAAGAAACAATACAAGCAATTAAAATAATAATTATACAAATTTTATGTTATCAATTTTATTCATTAATGCAATCTATATTTGAACTTACTTACTAAATACATCGATATCAAAATTTATTCGTTGGTTAAAATGAAATTCTATTATTGACGAATATCAAAATTTAAAAAACTACTTGAACATACGGATATTATATTTCTTCAATTAGTTGTATAATAATGTGTTTTGTTTATTTTTCTTTTCATTATTAACATTGCAAAAGAATTTTAACAGATTGCTGTGCATTCATTCTTATAAAATAATGATGAAAAGAACTTTGGAATGAAACATGTTTTTAAATATTTGAAGTTGCTAGAAAAACTGTCATTAGGTTTTTTTAGCCATTTTCGATCTCTATTCTCTTCTGATATAAGATACCACCCACCCTCATAGTAGAAACCCACTGCAAGAAAAATATCCACATTATCTATGGATGTGAAGTGTTTATATAAATATTGACAAATGAGTCGTTGAAGTATGGTCCTCTGAGACACTGACATAGATGTTTACTACAACATTGAGACACTAATTTTATCAAAATGTCTTTTTTTACAGTGTTGTGTTCCAATAATTTACTGAACATTAGTGCTAGTATCTGAGTGTACATTATTTGTCCTGAGTTTTTAATACAGTCATATCAGTAGTCGACCGTATATGCATTTGGTCTCTATACCTTCCATGTTTTCTACTTCAACAAAATCTATAAGTTGTGTCGTGATAATCTAGAGAACGACGTGTTTCTAAAAACTCATTGAAGCTTTGTCAGAGAGATCGATGTTTCGACATGATACAAACGTTTTGAATCTTCAATTTGAGTTTTCCTTTATCTTTTGCAAGTCCCACAAAGCGGCAATTTTTACGATTTGACCTCCATCTTTTACCCACCGTAATTAAAAGTGATGAGCTAGTCTCCATTCAGCTGAACAACCAGCTGTTACGACCAGAAGCGATAATGAAAACCTTCGATAAAACCAGATCAGCTCTAGCCGGAAATCGTTTTTGTATTCCGTCAAACTCAATTGTCGAAATTTGAGATCGCTTCGTACCGTATTTATGTTGGTCTTTACGAGTTTCGAAAATGGCAGCAGCTAAAGTGAGCCCGCTATTCAACTTGCTTATATCTGAGACAGTTATGAATAGCTTTGACGATAGATAATGAATAAGAGCGATAATCAAGCGATCAATCAGTAATCTTCATTGAAGAGATGTACAAAGCTATTAATGGAATTCTCTTGGTAAGGAATTTCGCAATGGCTACTTTTCAAAATCAGTGAAACGTAAGTTTCTCTGGGAGAGAAGCATTTTACGATAATTACAATTTTTTAACATGAAATATCTATTCAAAATTTGTAGTCTTCTTGCCAATGTTAGATTAAATAACGGGTGGGCCAGAATAAATTATACTGTTTGTATTTTGAATATTTTCCCTTCATTCTTCATGATTCAAACACTTTTTTTATCAAAAGATAGCGCTTGAAATTCTCTACGAAAATAGAAATGATTGAACCCAAAAACTATTCTAGATATATACGAAAAAAGATAAAAAATAAAAACATGAAAAAACCTGGAAAAATTAACCGGCTGGGCACAACGAACGGCCGCACTTTGCGTCCCATTTACATCATTTCGCCCTATTAGAAAAACAAAATGCACCAAAAGATGCAGCGTGAAAAGCTCTTCAATTTACACACGACCGACTATTTTATAGTTGCATTTTTTGTTTTCGAAATGGACGAAATTTTGAGCGATCAGATTTCGACCGTGTGAAAACAGAATATTTTTTGATACAAGCTGAGTTCATTTTTTTAATTTCATCGTGTCATTGCTTGATATGTTTTTTTTTCCAAAAGAATAAAATACACCACAAGATGCAGTGTGAAAAGCTCTACAATTTAAAAAGAACAATTATGAAAAGATGAAATAAAAAAAAAACGAATTCAGCTTGTACCAAAAGAATATGCCGTTTTTGCACGGTCGAAATTTGGTCACTCAAAACTTTGTTCGTTTTGAAAAAAAAAATTTGCAACTATAAAATAATCGGTCGTGTATAAATTGAAGAGCTTTTCATACTGCATCTTTTGGTATATTTTGTTTTTTAATTGAGCGAAGTAAGTGATGAAAAAATTGGGTGTAAAACGCTGCCATTCATTATGCCCAATCAGTTAATTTTTACAGTTTTTTGTATATCTTCACTTTTCATCCTTTTTCAAATATATCTAGAATAATTTTGGAGTTCAATCACCTCCATTTTTGTAGAGAATTTCAAGCGCTATCTTTTGATAAAAAAAGTGTTTAAATCATATGAAGAATAATGGGAAAATATTCAAAATACAAACAGTATAATTTATTCTGGCCCACCCGTTAATAGAGAGGATAAACATCATATAAAAGAAAACTGTCTCCTGTCGCCTTTTTATTGACAATTTCTGCTATAGATCGAAAAATCATTGTGATTTAAATTCTTACTTAAATGAAACCTATGTTAAAAAGTACTCGTTACATAATCA